GTGGTTTGTGGTGAGCCTTGGAAAGACCTGTCTCGATGAGGGGCGACACGGGGGGGAAACGCGGTTGTGACGTGGCTGTGGGAATGGGGACAGGAGCAGCTCTGAGGGAGAGGAGGAAATGTCAGTGTAGCAAGAGACTCAGCACACACACACACACACACACACACACACACACACACACACACACACACACACACACACACACACACACACACACTCAGACACACTTCTGACTGTACCGACACCTCAGCACTCTTACACACTTCACTGAGTTCAGAGCAGCACCACTGACATCACCCAAACGCCTATCTTTCTCGTTTTTCCTTGACATTACCCTTTCTTCCTTCTCCTTTTGTATGCTGTATCTATTTCCCCTCTTGGCCTCTCTTACACACTGTTCTCTTTTTTTCCAATTCTCAACCATATTTCCTTTCTTCCTTTTTGTTTCTCCCTCTCTCCCCGCCTGTCCTCCCTCCTGCAGAGCCCTCAGTGAACCCATCCAATGCCGGCGTGGTGGCGGGAGCTGTGATTGGCTCCCTGCTGGCTCTCCTTTTGGTCGGCGCTCTCATCGCCGTGCTCATCACCCGTAGCCGCCGGCAACAGCAGGGTTACCGCGCCAATGACGGCAGCGACATGAAGACGCGCATGTTCGGCGGAGGCAAGAAGGCCAGCAAGAACGGCACGGGCGGAGGCAACGGGAGCGGAGTTGGAGTTGGAGGCGGAGGCGGAAACAACAATGTGCCGATCTACGTCTACGATCAGGGCTCCTCCCATCCGGGCCTCGGAGAGAAAAACAACCACCACCAGCCGCTCACCATGGGGGGCGTCGCCACGACACCCACCGCCCAAGATATCCTGCTGAGCAACGAGCTAGATGACGGCGAGAGGAGGAAGTTTGACGAGCTGGAGGAGGACGAGAGGTATGATAATTTCACCGGAGGCGCCCCCATCCTTCAGCTCCGCCCGCCACACGACCAGGACGATATAATTGGAGACTACATGGATGACGACATGGAGTCCCAGCGAGATGGATCCGTCATCTCACGGACTGCTGTCTACGTATAGAGGAGGAGAGGAAAGGAAAGGAAAGGAAAGGAGGAGAAGAAGAAGAAACAAGGAGGGATGGAGGATTCCTCCAGAGGATTTTTTGGCTCCAGGGTCTCGGCCCTGTTCGGATGGAGAAGAGAAAATGATACCACTTTTTATTTTTTGAGAATTGATCTTAAACATAGCCTATTATTAATCACAGTGCTACCCCAGAATGAACTGAGGCGACAGGAGGGAAAAGCATATCCCTCAGAACTGAAAATCAAAGACAGAAAACAAACCACCGCTCATGCTATCGCTATCACTGGGACCTTGACATGCTCTTGACAGACAGACTAAAAGAGAAAAACGATGTAGTGTGGGAGTGGCATCGTGATACAAGCTCGGCTAAAGCGGAAGAAACTCTCTTGCACATTCACTCTTATCTTCACCAACAGTGTAGAAGTGGTTGTCAAGCAGTTAGTTAAACATACAGGCCTGCTTCTCTCCCGTGGTAATGCATTGTGCTGTGACAGCTGGTGGACACTTTGTAACTATGGCTGGGTTGGGAGGAAAACATTCAGAGGTATACTTACAGTATTCATCAGGAGATTTAGCTAAGAAAAGAAAAGTATTTGCTGCTGGCTAGCTCTCATTTCCGCTCTCTCTGCCTTCCTCTCAAACTGCTCTGCAAGCTATCGACAACTGCAGCATCTGACTCTAACTATGAAAGTTTGAGTTCTTAACAAGGTACACACACATGCAAAGGTTTGTACTGTGCCCCGAGGAACGAGACGGTGATCAAGAGATGAGGGAATGAGGTGTAGCCGATCTGACAGGGTCACGGGACGGAGAGACGAGGAAGAGGAGTCTCTTCCTCCTCATCCTCGTCTCCTCAGAGCGCTCCTGACAGGAGGAGCTTGATTGGTAATGAGCCGTGAAGTCACTCGCTTAGCCGGCAACAACAGATTGCCACCACTTATCGTTTATGACGTGACGATTCCCCCCCCCCCACACACCTCTATCTCTTATCATTCCTCCGTCTCTCTCTTTTCATCCCTCTCTCCCAGTGTTTTATGGGGAGTTTATGATTTATCCGGTAGCGTGGAGGTCAGTGCCACAGAGAGCAGCGGAGTATTTTACTGCCCCTGATGTGTCAAATGCCCCACTTACTCTAGTCTTACTCTATATCCTGCCCGGACCCCCCAGGACTGACTCTCTGATCCACCTGGAGGGCCATGTTCGCTCCAATGCCTCCTGCAGTATTTTGTCAATGGCCTGAAACCTCACCCCCCAAAAATACAACCACTTGAGGGTTTGATAGACTATCAATGAGATCAGGTAACATTTCTATCCATTCAGGGGTGTTGTTAAATGTAGAGAATTGATCGGGAGACATAAAAGGTTTCATCAACTGCGAACCTTCGGGAGTCATATTGACTAACAGGCATCAAGCAGTGAGATGGCCCTTTACGATGTGGCTTCAGGGCTGATTGTCTCCTGACTGTTAATTTATCCTCATAACGAGCCACCGGAGGCTCGCCCGGACAAATATTACTCCGCGGGAACCGCACGCTGCTGTCTTGGAGGCGGAGCGTTTACATCCGGCATGCGTCACTGTGTCTATGTAGCCACTAGATGACTGTGATGGACAATCTTTGAGAGAAGCCCTACTGTAGCTCCTCTAATCGGGCTTTCCCTGACCTTTCTAATCAAATCCCTCGTGACCCACTGGGAATCTGGTGAGGGCAGCTCTCGATGAGTGTACTGCCCACATATAAGGCCTGCCAAAGATCTGGGTTGCAGCTTGCTGCAGGTCATGAGGTCAAATTCAGAGCGACCCGCTGGCAAGAGCCAGGATGAGTTTGCCTGCCTGCATTTCCTCTCATAGCAGTTTATAACCTTGAGCTATAGAGGTGGGAAACAGTGCATACACTACATGTATCCTTATAGGGCCAGACAGTCCTAGTTTTCCTTTGTGAAAGCTGTTGACCTTCAAAGAGGCGGAGAGAGGCGGAGAAGTGGCTTTTAGTGTTCGAACGCGGTCTAGCATATTGTAAGCCAGTGTTCAATAAGATTATCGTCTGATGGCCTTAGCTTATATATAAACGCAGCTCCAGTCAACCCGCTGCAGTTCATTAACTGAACCCAGCTGGTTTGTGACAACCACTAAAAAAAAAAAAAATGTATTACTTATTTTTGCACTTGTGTGTGTCACCGCTACAAAGAGAAATATAAGTGTAATACTTGGTTTTGGGGTCAAAATAGCGATAAGGGACAAAACTGTTGTATGTACATTTTGGTGTGAGGTATCTGTGAACTATATATGTAAGCATCTTTATTTTTCTTGTGAAAATGTGGATATTTATAACGATGTAAATATCAGTTCGATGGAGCCAGTGTTGTGGAATAAAGAAGGCGTTCTGGGTCAGCTAAACCTAAAGTTCAAATGTCACAGAGGGCAGTCAGAATGTAATTTTTAATCTAATGAATACCTCGGCGGTTTGGGTGTTAAAAAACATTGAACCGACTGAGCTGAGTTTGCCTAACAGTCGATTTGTATCGGTGGGAAAAATTATATAATTGTATAATTTTTTTTGTGAAAGTTAACATTGCCTGCAATTCCACAAAATAAGCACACCGTGTTTTTTTGCACAATTGGCTTCTCCTTGACAGATACCCTGCACAATGCAAAAATACCCACAATACTTATAATTTATCAGGTAGACCGTAACCACACAAGCAGGCGGTGGTGTGTGTTGACTCAGCTCTGTGTGTGTATTCAGTAGTGTGTATTTTCGTGATGCTCGGAGGCTTTGGGACATCTCTCACTGCCATTGGGGCTGTAACCTGAGTAGCCTCTATTTATGTCACCATGGCCAACTGAAGATATTATTTTGCGTTTCCAAAACACACTTATTCGCACACACACATACTGTACATATACAGAATGCAGAGAAACATTCTCCCACACACAAGCACCCCTCAGTCACTCTCATTATGCTCACTCCCACAGCCAGACTGTGCTGAAGACACCTCATACCTGACAACTTCGCCATCTCCTGACATAAGCCCACACAAATTCGCTCGCATAGCCGCACACACACACACACACACACACACACACACACTCACACTCACACTCACACACACACACTCACACTCACACTTCTTCCTCCGCTTCTTGCTCAGTGGCCCCGTCAGGACATATACTGTGTCCTGTTACAGTGAAAAGAGCCGCAGTGTGATGTGTCCCCCGCTCCACCGCTTTCTATTCTTCAAGGCCTCACTCTGAAACGACCACATTGAACACACACATTCAGGGACACACACACACCTTTCACCCGGTGCTGGAGAAACGGGCTTTTGGACCGTTTGTCCATTCCACTTCGAGGAATTTAGCTTTCATAAAAATGCCACTGTGCTGACCCGCTCCACCTCCCATCTCACTTTGAATGCTTTTAGAGCCGAGACTTCCTACTCGCCTCCAAAATGTTGTTTTTTTCAACTTTTCTCACTTCAGCAACCTCCGCGACCGCCTCCATAAACACACACACACACACGCACACACACACCGTTGCCACCCACCTCAGCATCAACGTTAAAGGCTTGTCAGACAAAATGCTTTTAGAGGAATCCACGATCCCGACCCGGGTCTAGCACAAGGTTAGGTAGTCAAAACACCCAATATTAATCTTTATTTTCCCAGAAAACCGCATACTGTTGCTATCTCTTCGGTTCCAAACATTTGATGACTAATCAAAGCCTTAACATCTCCCATCTCACTTGCAAAAAAGAAGGAATTAAAGAGAAAAGTTCCCTGTGTACATAGTATAAATATATAAATATGTAGCAGAGAAAAAGATATTACTAATTTATGGTGTCACGTTTGTGTATTTCTCAGTGACAGCAAGCATGAAGGATTTATTTTCTCCTATTACAGTTTCCTCTCTTTTCTGTTATTTTGCAGTGCTTTATAATTTATGTGCTTTATTCTTGACTGCTGCGCGGATTGCTGCCAAAACTGGCAAATGTGCTTCTATACAAATGAACTGTCCACACAACAAACCAGTCGTACCCCCAAATGTGCTTTTTATTATTGACTGCTGTGTAATCGTTGTTTTTTCTTTTTTTGTATTCCTTTTTTTTAATTTACAATTTTATTTTGTGAAAAAAATAACTAAGAAATTAGAATTGTTGTCACCATTTTGTCATGTCTTTCTATATTTTTTCGTATTTTGTTGCTATTAAAGAATTCTTGATTTTTGAAATGTTTCTGCCGGTTGTATCTGCCTCTCCTTTCCTTCCCGTCTATCTATTTAACACCTGAGGTTAGTTTGGGTGACTAAGGAGCCAGATGGATTAGAAGTGCCAGTAATTGATTCTCACTGATTAGATTTATAGATTAATTGATCGGGATGTGAAGTGGCCCCTGTCTCTTGTCAGCCATCTTTCACACTTCAGATGCCCCCACCCTCTGTGTGTTTGTTTTTTTCACTCATTTCCTGGTCTGGCTGTTTCTCTCATTTCAGTTTTGATAAATCGGGGCTTGTGTCAACAGAAGTGCGATAACAGGCTCGTGGGAAATAGCAGAAGCCATTTTGTGTTAAACTATTGTCCTGTACTGGAGCTGCACCTCCCCCCAGTCTCTGTGATTCATACATGTTTCTCTGGTTGGCTACAGTTAAGGGGCCACTAAAGTGTACATTAACTTTCTTATTTAAAGACCTATATAGTATATAATCATTATATTCAGCCGTAGCTAATTGTACTCTCACATAGAGAGAAAAAGTTTGAGGAATGTGGTGCTGTAGCTGCAGTGGTTATCCTGCAGGGAGGCAGTTTGTTTTTTCAGTTGGGGAATGTGCAGACCAGGCTGAAACTCTGTGAATGGAGCACCTCTCAAAGGCTGCATTGTTTGAACTCTGACTAAACCAAACTGGTTTGGTCAAATTGTAACAGAAGGGCAGGGTCTGTCTGTGTGTGTACATGTTTATGTATGAATGTCCTGGCATGGGAGAGAATGTGTGTTCTCATGCGTGAATGTATGTGCACCTGCCTTATTGGTTTTTCATACAAGTACCCCCTCTGTGCCGCCGCTAAAATGATACAATCAAGTTGTGCTGTTAACGTCCCCGCGTCTGTGACGGTTGGTTTATGTCGATTATGGCAGCGCGCCCTCGCTGTCTGCCCGGTGCTTTGATGCCGTCATGTATCTCTGTGTCATCCTGGCTCCTTGTCACACTTCATTTTTGTTGCAGGCTTCTTCTGTCAATGCACAGCTATTTACTGTGAGTCCAGCCCACCATCTGGCCTCTCTAATTGCTTTGGATTTCAGGCTGGCGAGATAGAGAGAGCACACATACACACACACACACTAGGTTTCTCTAGCTGAATGTGAAAGACTCGAGCACAGCAGAAAGGCTTTTAAGCTGCAGCTCGGCTGTGCAACACTTACATTTTGGTCTCTGTTTGTCACCGAAAAAAAGTGTTCGCCTCATGTGGGAGCGGTGACCCCGTAACGCAGAACCTGTCCTATTTGAGCTCCTAGCAAATAACCTGGATCTGAAGCCAAAGCGACAGCAGCTACGCCGAGCTCCACCGCCGTGTTCAACATTAGCTTTCAGTGATGAGACATGGTGCCGTGCCCGGGGCAATACAGGCTAGCTGGTAGTGGCCCTGTTTATACCTAGTTGAGTGTGTGTCTGTGTGTGTGTGATGCGTTCTCTGCTCATACAGCGTTATAAACAAGTATGTTCATGTTGTTGTGTGTTTCAGTTTTCTGTTGTGCAGCTCAGATTCCAACAGCATGTTTGTGTGGGAAAGTGTTTATGAGCTAAGTGTTATCAGTTTGTGTATGGAGCGAAAAGGGTGTAATAATGTGTGTGTACTGTTTCACACATTCATGTTTGTACGTGGCTGTATATTTAACTTCCAGTTCTGGCAGCTACAGCCGCAGTGTTGATTAAACATCTGATGGTGTGTGAGTGTGTGTGGATTAGCACACAGACCCACTTTAGGCTCTCTCTGCTGATAACTGCTCACACAATGCTCCTCATTTAACCTCTCACCCTCCGGCTCCAGACCTAACTAATAAATCCCAGAGAGGCTGATGAATTGCCTGGACTGTTGCGTGGATTTCTGAGTGATGGATGTGGTGACCTGGCCCTTCACAGGGATTAAAGTGAGTGTCTTCCTCTGACTTCAATTGTTAAAGTAGGCTCCTGCATATTTTTTTTGGCTTACTCGCGCATTTTGATTTTGCCTGTGGTGAATCATCAAATCTCCAGCTGTGTGTGTCTTGTTACTGGAGTATTTCTATCAAACAGGGTTACTTTTAACTGGCTCTTCTTTTAACTGACACTGGTATTCCTCATTATTTTTTATTCCGGCACATTGGATCTGACTCACAGCGCAGTTGTGTGCACACTCCTTCAGTTTAAGGACAATGACCCTAAGCATGCAGGGGAGGTAATCAAGCAGATGTATGGTCGAACTGTGGAATGTTCTTCTCTGGCCAAGTCAGTCATCTGACCTCAGCCCGGCATGCGTTTCATTTTCTGAAGATGAGACTGAGGAAGGCTCTGGAAGACGCCTGGCAGCTCATCAAAAGAAGAGATAGCAAGTGTCTGGTAAGGTCTGTGAGTTTAGAGGACTTTCCAAAGTTTGAGTTAACTTCTCCAATTTATTTTGGTACTGTTCGGAAACCACATAAAAAGTATCATTATGTAACGTAGTACATTTTAGCTGCACACTATGTGGGTTTTGTTTATGAAAAGCCTGGATTTGAACTATATTTGCAAAACCTCTGAGTATGTTGCATTCACTTCCACATACTCTTCTGCCTAAATGAACTGCAGGTCTTAAGACTTTCAAATGGCAGACTGCCAGGCAAAATTTTAAAATGATTTACCTATTCTGTATTTAAAGTTGTGTAGAAAACATATTTAACCCTTAATCATTTCAATAACCACTACTGGAAATATTAAATTGAGCAATTGGTTAACAATTGTCGTGAACAATTGTTATAGAACGTAGCTCTGACCGGTAACGCTATCGTTGATGCAGCCATGTGAAGACGTATAGCTTGTGTTAACTTGAGTGTAAATAGTCTCTGGTCTTGGCATACTTATTGTTAATTTAATAAGATGTGTGCGATATACTGAATTGAGTATGCAGTATGTAAGTTAGAGATTTCAAACACAGCACTAGTGTCCAAAGCCATGCAAACCATGCTCCTCTGTGAGAAACTAAATGCTAATGTCAACATGCTGCTGGGACAATGCTAACGTTTACTATGGTCTTAGTTTGTTTAAATTCTATATATAGTCTAATGCAGTGGTTCCTAACCTGGGGGGTGCCAAAGATCGCACGGGGGGCGCCAGGCCTCAGATGATTTGAGGCCAAATATCATATTTAGACTTATTTTTTCCCTTTTTTTTTTCATATAATTGTAACGCAATACATTGTCACTAAAAGCCTCGTCTCTACATTACAATAAAATATAAAAAATAATTGATTAATTAGTTGTAATACAAATGTATTCAAGTTAGTAGCTATTAAAGGCATAAAAAGACAGAAATGTTAAATAATTTCTTTTATAGAAATGTTTCTTCTGCCCGTAAAGTGTCCTAACCAGGCTTCTCTGGATAAGCGCGTTTTTAAAACAGTCATTGTCCATGCCGGTTTCAGTTGGATTATTTGTCACAGTTGCTCCGATCAGATCGGTCTCCTCCATTTTGTAGATTATTTATGACTTTTGAATCCACATAAACACATCGTTGCCGATGTGTTTATGTGGATTCAAAAGTCATAAATAATCTACAAAATGGAGGAGACCGATCTGATCGGAGCAACTGTGACAAATAATCCAACTGAAACCGGCNTATATAAATACGTTGACAATGTCTACAGTAAATGCCCATATATGGGTTGTGTGTATGCCGAATTAAAATGGCACTGTTGTGATGGTATCCCTTAAAACTTGGTGTTTAAAATGATCAATGGATGAAGGAAGTCTGGGCAACTGCGTAGATGTCCTGTAACCAGTGGTGTAATGTATTGAAGTACATTAATTGTACAATCCTGAGGTACTTGTACTTTACTTGAGTATTCTCAGTGCATGCTACGTTATACTTCTACTTCACCACAATTAAGTTAAGGAAGATTTTGAATGCAGGACTTTTACTTTCTACTTTTACCTATGTAAAACATGTGAGTACATCTTCCACCACTTGTAAATGCCAAGCTATGTGTTGTGTGTGTGTGTGTATACCAAATTAAAAAGGGCACTGTTAAATCATAGGGTGTTTTTAAAAATGAATGAATGAAGTCTGGGCAACTGCGTAGAAGAGCCGTTTGCACATGGTGAGCAGCTGTCAACTCTTCCTCACCCCGCCTCCCCTCTTGGAGACTAAATTTACTTCTATCTCCCATTTGGACAGCTGAGGCCTCTTGTGGATAAGAGGGGAGGGGAGTGGGGGGTGGAAACATCTCCAGGATCCTTGAATGTTCCAGACCTTTCTTTAAAATCTGTCAAAAAAACCAGGTTTTTCCACTCCAGCTAGAAGGAATTATTCTTTTGTTAATCTCCTTTTAGTTTGAAGACATTGCTGGAAGAAAGAAGGTAGAAAAGGAAATGCATAGGTATTTTTATTCCGAAATATATATGTATACTCTCTTTTTCCTTAGGCTTTAGACAACGTCCCCCTCCTTCTCTACATCCTGGCCCTGAAGACCCTGATCCTGTGTCTGGGGTTCGCCGGGGTGAAGATCTACCAGAGCAAGAAGGCAGACCAGGCACTGAAGAAGCAGAGAGACGAGCAGAAGAGGCTAGCCCAGATCACCCAGGAGCTCATAGACAACAAGAAGGACGACTGAGAACACCTGCACACAGGTAACGGACCAGCTAACATGTGTTATAAAGTAGAAATATTACAGTTCTTGAGTAAATGTACTTAGTTACTTTACACCTCTGCTGTCTATACAATATGCAAATTAACTAGCACCACTGTTCCACCTAGGGGACAATAACACTGCAGAATAGCTCATTGCATCAACATGTAATATTTACGATGTTGTCGATCATAAACACAGGAGGTGATTCGGCAGTATCGACATGTTATTGAAGTGATCTTTCCTCCTCTCTTCCCAAAGGGAACATGTTTCTGACCTGAGGAACATGCCAGTTTCTCCACAAACGAGCCGGATGTCTGACTGTCGGCAGCAGGAGGTCCTCCCTCTGCCTTACATCACTCTACTGGTTTTCCATATGTAAATGTTTGACCGAACTATCAGTCAAACATTGTTTTTTAATCAAATCGAATGACAGCAGGAAAGCTGAGGGACTGTTTTGTCTTATTAACAGTGAAGAAACACACGGCCCAGCGTCCACTCCTTTCTGGGCCTCATCTACTGTTTTCTTTATACTCGTCACACTTGAATTAGCTTCACTTTGTACACCGGGAGTGTTAGTGTATCAATGCTAGTCAAATCTGCTTATTCTCAAGAATACAGCATGGTATTTATTCTGAAATATTCCTTGTAAATTGTCTACCTGCATTGTGCCAAACTTTTATATTTGTATTAAACTGTTTGTTCCACATGTTGCAATTTGTTTTGCCTTCATTTCCTTTTTCAATTCCTGGGGGGAAAAGCTCAAGAAATAGCAACAGAAAGAACAGGAGGTTCATTTTTTTTCAAGAACTCGCCTCTACTATGTCCTTTTTTACTTCTTAAACCACTGGTAATAGGACACTTTGGTGTTGCAGTCCTGTAAATGCTGAGTTTAGTTTGGCAGTTCAAGTGCTTCCTTTTTCACAAAGTGCAGGGAAATGTGGTTTGATAATTTTGATGACAGCCTACATTGGAGGAAACCAACAGACCCACTTCCGGTCGGTCTGGCTTAAAATAAAGGGGCGGACCTCTACTCGAGTTAGCTACCAGGGCGCATGCGCAACGGCTGGGAAAAGCAATTTATCCGGAGTGCTCGGTGCACCTGCTTCATTAAACACACCTGCAGGAGAGGAAAATGGAAATAAAGTGGATGAAAACAACAGAAAGAACCGGAGCATCTTGTGTTATGAGGTCAGTCACAAACAAACTGCATGTTGGAGGCTAGGTAGTGAATGAGATACTAACTTTCTTTAATAGGAAAGTTGGTATCCTAGTTAAGAAAGTTAGTATCCCATTCCACTACTCTCTTGCTCAAATGAACTCAAACACACATTTGCGTGAACGAGACTAATGATTTGAGCCAAAGCCAATGAAACTGTAATATATTGATGTCTCTTAGGCTACCTGAGCTTCTTGTCCTGTAGAGGGCAGCATTTCCTTACTAATACTCATGGCCTGTATTTCAGTGTTAGAAGGGGACCACGACAATCTTTAACATCCAGACCAAAGTGCATTCATTTTATGTCTTCTTCTTCTGCAGCACCACCACCACTCCTCCTTCCTCCACCTAGCTTCATCTCATTTGATTGACAGCGTCTTGCTGCAGTGGTTTAGTGAGGAGCGCTCATGTCTCAGGAGGTGTTCCTGGTATGGATGCCTCAATTTAGCTTGTTTTGATCTGCAGACAGTAGCTCTCCCTTAAGTCTGTTTTCTAGAAGCAGTCATGTGCTGCAACACAGGCAACAAGTCATTACTGACTCACCTGCTTTGTTTTCTTACAGACTGAAACATATGGGGTATTTTCATGTATCACAATGCATTCTATTTCATAAACTCAAGTAACTCTTAACTACATGCAGCTGTAATTAACATGCAGTGGAGGACAAAGTACAATGTCTTATGGAGGACCTTCTTTCCTTATGTCTTGCACGTATACTTTTCCCTACAGTATATGTGTTTGCTTTGAAGCACAGAACGAAGAGTTATTCTCCCTTTCCACCAGTGCGAATAACAGACCCACTGGGATTCCTGAGGCATGGAGTGTAAAAATGTCTACCTTGAGAAAAACGACCTCAGGATTTTGAGTTTGGAGACACATAGAGTGTTTCTTTTCTCACCAATTGTTGACCCCTGGATGATTTAAGGACTGATGTCTGCTTGTGTGAGAGCACAAGTTTCTTCCAGTTTACTCAACAATAACTCATAGCTGCAGACACATCGAGTAAAAGTTGCATTTCTGTGCGTACAAATTACAATCCAGTATTTTTAATTGCCCCTGTAATTTCACCAGTGTCCCATATTTCAATGCCATTTCATTTAAATTGAAAGAAAACATTGCCCAAGCTAAAATGAGGGTAAATACATTTTAATTATGAGCATCCATCCAGTCTCCAGAGCACTGGTCCAAAAAAAACAACACATGTGAATGCTTCCCATTTAGAACATATGTCACATGTTCTTCCCACAAAACTCTGTTAACCCTGTGGCACATGGATTAACACAAAAACCATGTGTGGAGTAATATATGAATGAATTCAATTGGGTATATTTGGGGGTGGCATATTTATTCAAGGCTTCAAAGGCTTTGTCATATGCACAGTAGAGTGTGGCAAGGCAAGTTTATTTATATGGCGCTTTTCAACACAAGGCAATTCAAAGTGCTTTGTGTAGATATGGAAACGGAAATGTTAATGCTCCTCCAACCATGCAACATAAACAAACAAGACATAACACAATAAAAAAAGGGCAAGAAGAAATAAAGTTGGAATGGTGCAAGATTATGTAGCAGCTTTAAGTGTGAAACATGGCAGAGAATAAATATTTCACAATAAAGACATCAGAAGACATTTGGTACATCACTTCAGAGGATGAGAGGTGAGGAGAGACTGAGAGAATATCAAAGAGATAGAGAGAGGCTGCTGGTGGAGGAAGAATAAGACAAAGTGAGGAAGAGAGAGAGAGAGAAAGAGAGAGAGGAAGAGAGAGGAAGAGAGGAAGAGGAGGAGATGGGGATTGCATCGCAGTGCACCCGTGCGTAAATGTGACCATCCTTGCCTCCATCTCCATCCGCTCCCCGGCTGCCTCCAGCCGCTCCGCTCCTCTCGGCCGGGATCACCTGCTCGGTGGTCGGTGGTTTTGGGACCGTGGAGTCCCGGGTGTCTCGGCTCGGCGCCCTCCTCCAGGGGTTAGGAGGAGCGCCGGGGACCTCGTCCAGGTTCCTGCCGGGCTTCGTGGCTGCTCCTCCCGAGAACCAGGGCTCTGAGCGCCGGGAGAGACGCGGATCCACCCGCTCGCGGATGCCGGTGATGCGAGGTCTGATCGCGCCACAAAACACCTTCTTGGACACCATCGCCACTCGCTTCGATGGGACCCGTGAGTACATAAACAACTATTCATTTCACGGTGCGAAATGCATGGTTATTTAACCCTTGTGTTGTGTTCGAAAGATGTTACCGTTCATGATGTTCGCGCCGCGGGTACATTTTAACCCATGATTTCTCTCAGTGCAAAACACTCAAAAATAATGACTATCATCCGATATTTTTTTAACTACATCATACTTATTATGCTTTCCTAACCGTACAATCCTGTTGTAATTTGATGGCCCCAAAACACATTTGATTAAATGCACTCATTATATTCCTTATAGAGAAGACAGTGGATAATTATGTTATCTGACTATAATAGACTAATATTAGAATTCAATTTCCCCCAAGAAGTTGCTACAACTTTATATTATTAAGTGTTGACTCACTTCAAACATATTCAAACTCTGCCAACACAAAGTCCTCCTTCAAGAAGATCGAGGACACGTGAAGACATGTTAACTGAAAACTGTGAATCAGGACAAAAAGTTGCAATTCAATTTAAATATGGAGTCCATATGCCTTTGCTGCGATTCAGTCATGCATCAGCTTGTCATAGTCAAATTAACCTAGCTGCCAGGCCCATAATAACCCCCCCCTCCTCCCACATGTTGTGTACTATGTGCTGTGGATTTTCTATTTGGTTATTCATTTAGGAATATGAGCAAAAAAACCTAGCAATCAAAATACCGAAATTGGATTTTGACGCAGGGGCCCTTTTCAACGTGGAGGTCAGTCTAATAAAGCAGGGTCAGCGCTTCAGAGCGCCTGCAGCCAAATATTCAATTAAATGAGCACAAACCATTGAAACACAAGAGCACTTGACTGTTTAACATCCAGGCTCGCTCACAACATTGTGCATTGTGTTTGTTTTTTATTCATCACAATACAACAGGCATAATTGTTTGTGACAGCACTGACCTGTACTGTTATCATTAGTCACCACGAACCCTTTTTAGTTTGTGCATTCAGCCCATGAACCTCCATGGAAACAAATGTCAAACCATATGCTAACTGCAGTTAAAGCTTAACACGGTTGCATAAGTCAGTCCCGAAGGCACAAACTAACAGGCAGGGCTGAGCAACGCACAATTTATGGATGAAGTGTATATGGTACAGGAAATCAGAGCGGGATGTGTCTATTTTCTGAGAAAGAGCTGACAGTGATTACAGAATAATTCATGCTGCAATATTTAGAGTATGCTTGGAAGAAATCAGTCATCAGTGACATCTGCAGGTACTTGATACGTCCCCTGAAGGCAGCGTCTCATGAGATGGCATTAATTCATTTTGAATATTTATGTCAGCGGTGATCAGGTGTAGCCAAATCTGAGAGTGGAGCAGAAAGCACTTCCCTGCATCTGTGTATAGCAGCAGCTTCAGTGTACAGCTGCAGGAGATCCATTATACTCTTCTGGTTGAGCACAGATTGAACACTTCTGCTCAATTGCTGTGCATTTATATTCCATCCGTGAAAATCACTCTCTGGCCTTGAATTTATATCAAACATTTCAAACTTCACAGCGTGTTATTCGCCTTAAAATGTGTGTTTACATTCAGTTTTACTAAGTTCCAGCCTCGTTGGTCACTGCTGGTTCCAAAACAGAACCAAGACGGCGACAGGCTTTGCTGGATTTAAAGGGATGAATGACTCTGCCTCTTGCTTTAATGTGAGAAAGTGAATGGTGTTCATGTTGAGCTCTTCTTCATTTAGGATCTTATAGTCCTAACCCATAGCAGGCCTGTGGTAAAATCACAGTGAGGAGCCTTTTAATGAGGACCTTCTTCACTGTGTAGCTGTCTGTGGGGCGCTGTCAAGAAAGTGTGTGCATGTGAAGGTGTTTCATTTTAGTTGAGGCTAAAACACAGCTGGCAAAATGGACTGAATTTAGGATGTTGTTTTATACCTTCACACTGAAATGAGTAAAAGCAGTAGCAGTGCAGGTCGAGAGAAGTCAGATGTTTTGTTTTATTTGCTATTCAGCACACTACATAACAGAATAACCATCCATAGTGACGAGTGAGTGCTAAAGCTGGGCAGAAAAGTATTCTCAGGATCTCCATCTTTCTCATTCAACATTAATGCAGCATGATAACCGGGGAGACCTCGGGGAATTCTCTGTAGATTTTCTTTTTGTGACATTGCAGTAAGACAGCTTCAGTAAGAGCCCTTTCATAACACTGAGATCTCCCCATGCACTGCATACATATTTATACATGGAAAAGGGTTACAGATTTGAATGGATAACCTAGGAGTGAAGAAGACCAAGATACTGTTGGAAGGATTGCTATGAAATGCTGTTTAGCGCCAAGGATATGAATCCTAGCTCGCTGTGAATATATTTTAG